TAAACGAACGATATTTTCTACTCCTGGATAATTGCTTTTCACCTCCTGCACGAATTCATCCCAATCAACTTGAAGCGATACAGTCGGCAAGACTAGGGCCAATTGTGGAGGAATCGAAGGACTTTTGTTGTGAATTGGCAGCCTGCTAGCTCTGTAGGCCAATTACTACGATCATACAAGAACGCAAACGATTCACTATTCTCCACGAATATCAAGATACGGCATTCGTCTTTTTCCGCTCTTCCGCGACGATAAGCAACCGTTTTTAATTCGACATTTATATGAGCAAGTGCGTGTTTGATCAAATCGTCAACGACTAACTTCTCACGAACTTCTTGTGAAAAAATAACAGAGAAGGGTGAGAAAGGAAAGCGCGTTGTAGCGAAACGACAAGCCGCTACTGATGGTTGTTGCTGGTTATTATTATTCCGTTCCTCCGTGTCCCTTGTCCCCGGAGAATTTCGATTCAATTGTGCTGGTTGATTTTGTGTATAACGACCTAAATAAGCCCCATCGTTACGCTGCTGATTGAATCCACGAATCCGTTTGTTGGGAGTATTACTCGAATTAAGCGCAAGATTAGGCTAATGGTATTGGGGACATACTTGCATATTGGAATCCGATAAACCACTAGTATCATTGCGACCTCTCTTGTTATGAGCTGATATTGGTGTGAAAGATACTGTTGGGTTAATCATTGTTGAGTAAAGCGGTGCTGTTACATTGACGGATGGTTGTTGTACTGATAATGCCGGTTGTTGTTGATGCATGTTGGAATGTATTATTGACTGTTGCATAAGTGGTGGAGGAATACATATGAAAGACGATACTTGTTGTTGTTGATTATATTGAGCTGTTGAACTAGGTGATGAATATTGATTAACTGTATGACTGTTAGGCAATTGTTGTGAGTATACGTATGGCTGTTGATTATTTATTGGGTGGTAGTTAACTGGTGCATTATAATAGACAATTTGCTGTTCCTGTGATATCTCGTTGTTTGGAGCAAGTGATACATTATTCATCACTGCATATATTCGAGAGTTTTCCTCGGGCAAAAGAACTGGTAGCTGAAGATCAACCAGATTATTGTTTTGTCTACTAAGAGACGTCATTTACGACAACAATCACCAAAACTTAGTCTTTGATTATTGTGTAAACAGACAAAGAAAAGAGAAGGGAACGAGCACTAAAAAGCGACAAGAGTAAGCACGTCTAACCACTATGAGAGCGAGTAGCGAATGAGAAAAATTTGTTTTTCTTATATACTTCTCTTCACATTGTATTTTAATCACAGCGTCAATTACAACTAAGACAGACACTCTTAATAGCTTCACTTTTTCTTTTTTTGTGCATTAAAAAGAAAAATCACATGTCATATGTCTGATTGATTTTTCGGTCAAAGTACAAACAGTATATTATCGGTAGTACTCAGACGAGTCACATATTCTAAGAGAACTGCAGAGAATCGAAGAAACAGCTCATTTTGATGACATAATTGATTTCCAAAATATTAAAAGTCATTGAAGATTGATTCCTAAATTCAATAGCAGCATTTAAATTCATTGAAAATTGGAGAATATCATGAGAATGCACCCGACATCACCTTACAATTGAGAAAGCCATGTAAAAGTCATTGATGGCAATAAAAGTAGAAATGCACAACAGTAAATACGAAATAAAAAGTTACATGAAAAAAAAAACGGTCACACATATGGATATCATATAAAAATATCGCAGAATTGCGAACAAAATTATTGAAAATTAGAGTACTGTGTATACAATATGTCAAGATGAAGTTTTTCGCTGTTAATTAAGTTTTTTAAGCATACGAGAGTTCAACAAAGGGACGAATGGAGCAATCAAAGGACGTTGTACATGTACTCTCTGTATTCAGACGAGTAATAGTAAGCAGCTGAAAATATCTTTTATTTATTCCTCTTACAATTGCAAAGATATATTATGTATGACATAAGCCAAACGAATAAGAGAAAAATATATATGAATGTTTAGTTTACGTATTTATGACGTTTTACTATTTTTCATGTAACCACAATGCGTTTATTGTTGTATACCTATTTCATCTTGTTTTTCTACATTGATATTATTTTCTCGTTCATGACCTGGAGAAAAATGTCGCGATGGTTTATTGATTATAGTCAATAGTTACTTTTCGACGATTGTCATGTGCAATATCACTTTAACCTATACCGGAGGTGCTTTAAATGATTCATTAATGCCAGTGATGATTGAAATAAATGCTGAATTCAAACTTCTGATAATATATCTCATAAGTCATTTGCATATATTGGCCATTTGAGTATTTATAATTCTAATGAATACGAAGTTTTATTTTCAATTGGGTCATTTTTTTCGTATTGATCACATTGAATTTAATGATAATGATCAATTATGCACGGTAGAAATGATATTTATCTTCGATGAATATCATTATATTGTTTCTAACGATTATAACTCATTGAAAACATATATGATAGAAGAGAAAATTCTCAAAGTTCGTAATCTTCTATCACACCATAATGAGCAAAGTAAAACAGATAAAGTAAACATTTTTTATCAACATTTCTTAATAAATAATTTTAATCCAAGTATCAACGCAACATGTCAAGTTGGTTTGGGTTGGCGAGCATTTCAACAAAAAGAATATGATATAGCTATTCATTATGTAGAGCAAGCTTTGAATATGTGCAAACAGTTAGAAACTGGTTCATATTTAGATTATTTATATGTAATAAGTTATTGTTGTATTGGTGCTTTATATCGACAAAATAAGGATTATACGAATGCATTGCAGTTTTATATGAAAGCATATAAGATAGATAATAAGATAATTTCACATGATAAATATGCATTCTATAATTTATTTGTTCATATAATTTCAATAAATATAATTTCATTTTATAAACTGACAACGTTGTAAAATAAAATCAAGAATTGTGTATTGGTGAAGATGCCTTTTGTTATCTATATTATTTAGAACTCATTAAATATTATTATCAAAAAAAAAAGGCTATTATCGATACAACTTCTACCATTGATAGTTATTCAAATCTACTTGAAATATGTCTTAATTATGACTGAACAAATTTCGAAAATATTCAATCTGAAATTATCTCTTGGATTGAAGATAGATCTGGAGAAATGCTTGAAAATTTAATAAAAGCTCATGTCAACTATGTACCGTTCATATGGAGTGTACATCGACGACCTATTTATTTTGAAAAAAAATGAATCAATACCAAGATGTCAATTTGAATATATTCACTCAATGATAATTCACTATGAGAAACAAGATATGAACTATTTATTATCAGAAAATCAAGAAGATAGTGAAAGATGTCGGCAAGAATGTGTATATCATCTTTTGGACTTACATTCAGAGTATAATAGACATATTGCTACTTGTTATCTTCGAATAGATGGTCCAAGACAAGTCATCCGTGTTTTTGATCCCATCATCTATACTGAACTTGAACATTTATATTGCCGACAGGCTTATCAAAGATATCTCAACTGCATTGATTTCATAAATTTATTTAATAAATAAGCAAATTGTGAACAGTATCATAAAATTAATTTATATCAGAAATCAACTAGAGTAGAATTTGCGAAGAATTTTGATACTATGGATAGAATGAATTCAATATGAAAACAAACTGAATATCTTCTAGTAATTGTTTTGCACCGAAATGAAAATGACTTGTTACTTAGTTGAAGTTCTCTCCGTCTTTCACAAACAAACTTCTATTGATTCTCGTTTTACTGAATTATTGTTCGAGACGTCTCTACCGTAGTAATTATTCTGATGAAGAATACTTATCATTTCGAAATTACACTGAAATTTTAGAAAAGTTGTTACTTTATTGTAATAGAGGTTGTGAGTGGAGAGAAAGCACAGCTGCACTCGTAAATTCATATTTGTAGCCATAAAAAGATTTAGTGTGACATTATTTGTAAGATACAGCATATGAATTATTTAATGACAATAAATCCATGAAAGAAGTCTTCCTACGATAGTAATCTCAGGTGGTTTTTATTGGCATTTGAATAAGAAACGCTAGAATATTATATCCATCAATGAATATATTTTAATTTCAACAAAACTGAAGAGAAATTTCAGATCAGTAATAATACTTTTATGTTGATAAGATATGTAAAATGATTATTAATCTGTAAGATTTTCATTAGTTTTACTTTGTTGAAAAAGAAATGTTTCGTTTAATTATCATTTGCGTGAATGAATAAGTCAATCTATTATATAAAACTGAATTGTGTTTACTATGATATCGATAAATATGTCTTTAAGCGACACTCCTTGACGACCAAAAACCATTGTCCTGCATTGGTATGAATTCTTTGAATAAAATTTATGTTGAGTTCCCATAATCTTAAAGAGTTTGATTTTCTCACCAAATTTCAATTTCTATCACATTTCCATGATGTAGAAATAAGAACCATATATATGATCCGCTAAGATCACCATGAATCAATTGAGAATAAAACTAACATCTTCAGACACAATCTAATGTTTATGTGTTCTTGTCAATAATCTTACATTCGGATATTCACCAGTGTTTTCAATTTCGATTGATGTTAAAAAATATTTCTATAGTAGAGACTTTCATATTTCATTGATATCAACAAAATCAAATATTTTGAAAAGATATATTATGCTTAGCGATCTTTCCTTGGCTATTGGTTCAATAACTTGAATTTGAAAAGAATTTCCTTCTTGTTTGATCATAACATTGAACAGTAAACACTTTCGTTGCATATCAAGATCGTAGAAATATGAACAGTATCACCGTAGACTCATAAGATAATTCGTTATGGAATACTTTAAAATGTTATATAATTTTAATAATAGTTGGCCAATCAAAATGTGCTATAGAATAGGATAGTCAGTCAAAATCAAATAATAGTCCAATAGAAAACAGTTATTTATTGTACTTATAACCGAATATTGAGCCAAAAGAAAAACATAAACTTATACTAACACAATAGTTAACTCAACAAGAATAGCATAAAATATATGCTAAACTTTTTTAACCTATATGTTAAGTATATTATATGCAGATTAAATAAAATACAGTTCAAGAAAACAAAATTAAAACAACATAAAAAAAAAAGCTTTCTCACATATGCATTTCGACTCATATATAAACTGAGAATCTGTCTTCTACCTTGAGCGATATTTTTCCAATCATATTTATTGTCAAAGCTGATGAATGATGGTACAGTGCAGATATATTTACAGTAAAGCTGAAAGATAATATAAATTATTAAAATTCCTTCACTAAACTTTCTATTTAATGAGTTGACGTTTATTGAACCTATTGCTAGATATATGGTTTATGTGACATTGATCAGAACGACATACAACAAATGCGGTTGAAGTATAATATTATTGAGAAAAAATTAAAACAATCAAACAGATAAGTATGAGAGAAAAAGTTATTGATGAATTAATTATCACTTGGAATAGCTGAATAGAGCATATATTCCTGCCATAAATTAAGATAAACAATCAAAAAATTTTAATTTTAAACAGAAAAACTTACAATGAGAAAGAGAGCAGCAAGTGACATTGCCTTCATTTTAACATCAAGATCCATTGGAACTACAAAACATAAATATTCGGAAAGATATTTTTACTTATTATCAATAAGTCTACCTTTAAGTAAATATGCATCAGCACTTGTTGTTGCTTCTTTTAAAAAACCACGATATTTTTTATAAATAGTTCCAATTTCTGTAATTCTATCTGCACCAATTAACTTTTAATAAATAAAAACAATTTAAAAAAAAAACATTGATTAAAATTAAATCAGAAAAAAAAACAACTCAAGAAAATTTGAATTTAAATTTTGAAAATATTACTTACTGTGAATTTAGTTTCACAACAACAGCTGAATGGTCCATCGCAACGCACGAGAGGACCACGTACAGTAAGAATATGATTATCATTGTCATCTTTGATTGCAAAAATAGGTCGACAACAACTTCCTCTAAACAATACATATTTCATGAAATCAATCTGATTCATAGTTGTTTTTAGAAAACTAGTCTTACTGTTGCGATACAAGACCAATTAAAGTCCCAGGTGGTGATTCAACAGTCACTTCTTGACTACAACATTCTGAGCAAGCACACCAACAACAGCCTGAACAACATTTTAATGGACGCTTAATAAGAATAATATCCTAATTATTTTCAAGAAAATTTTTCTATGAAAATCATTTCAATAATTATTATTGACCTGATTATTATTATCAAGAATACGCAATTGAAAACGTCGTCTAGTTGTACAACAGAAACGTTGCCAAAATGTCGAAGCTTTTCAAATAGAACAAAAGACGTTTTAAAAATCTATATTAAAATCCTATTCACTTACTTTCTAACGCTTGTAATATTCGTACATTTTTATCATTGTAAATATCAAATTTAGCTTCAGATGAAATACCAAATAGAACTTGAATTATAGCATCAAAACAAAGAGAAACTTCAGATTAACTGATTTGTTTTAACTAATTTACCTTCAGTCAATGAAGGAAGTTGTTTAACATAGATTGCATCAATCATTCTTAAAAAATCTAATCCAGTTGTAGCATTGGATGTTGAAGATAGTACTGGTGTTATTTGATCGATACTTGATGCATTGACCTTCTCTTCGAATTCTTTTACATTCATTTTTATGAACTGTTGATACAACCGATGAAATTATTTGAAATCAATCAAATATTTTATCTAAAATATCCTTAATAGAACTCAAATCTATCTTGATTGTTTTAGTAACTTGTTGCGTACTCGATTTTCTCGTTTTTCTTTCGTAATATGCAAGTACTTTGAAAAAAGAAAACACATTTTTTTGTCTCCTACAGTAAGAGTAATGCATCATTTCTTGTCTCACTCAATCAATATGAAATGTTCCTATACAAATCTCACGGACACCACTCAACCGCAAAAAAGTA